TCCTCCCCCCCCTCAGCCTGTCCCACTCCCTCTTGTGTCTGCCAAGCCTCCACCCCCCGACCCACCCTGCCTCCAGCCCCATCATGTGATGCGGGGAAGTCATTTGCAAGTACAACAGTTCTCTGTGGTGCCCCCATTCATTTCCTGAGAGCTGCATTAGAGCCGCTGAAGGGAGACTGGTGTGTGTGCGTGTGCATGGCTGCGTGTGACACGGTGTGTGTGTGTGCCAGGGACTGAGAGAGAGGGGAGACTCTGTGTAAAGGCAAAGAGAACAAATCTCTCCTGCTCTGCAGCTTCTGGTCAGGTCTGTGCCTCTTCCATTTCTTATGCGAATAAACATTCCTTTTTGTAAAATGATTATTACTATTTATTATTATTATTATTATTATTATTATTATTATTATTATTCCTTTATCTCTTTCTTTCTTTCTTTTTTTTTTAGTTCTGTCTTTTTTGTTTCTTTGGCTGTCCCGTGCAATCTCTCTCTGCCTGTCTGTTTCTGTCATAAGCTGGAGTGGGATCCTTTCAGATGGGTGGCAGGCTGCTCTTTTGAATGGGGCAAGTGGGGGTGGAGGTGGGAAGGAGGGGGGTTGGGATGCTCTTTTGCCAAACAAATCCATGTGCTTTAAAATCCTAGCAAGGATGCAAAAGAAAAGAAAAATAAATACGACCCCCAGGTTAACATAATGCATATTGATGGATGTAGTAGGTTCCAGGGAGTGGAAGTGTTGGGGCACATAGAAAATGTAGGGTTGGAGGGGACCTCAGGAGGTCATCTAGTCCAACCCCCCTGCTCAAAACAGGACCAGCCCCAACTAGATCATCCCAGCCCAGGTTTTGTTTAGGCGGATCATCCCGGCATTGTAAGGAAGAAAGAAATGTCAGGCTGGGTTTGGGGTTTGCGGCACTGTTTTGCCATTCTGAACCTTTATTTGCCTGCATGGTATTGGGAGGAGGTGGAGAGTAACGGGTTAAGATGGAGATGACACCGTTGGCATTAATAGTGGTCCTAGTGCTATAGTCATTATTGTCTCTGGTAGTCATGATGTGTAGCTGTCACTTGCAACAGTGCATAGTTCATGGAAGTAGCTGGGGGCTGGCCTATGGCTGTTATATTCAATTAAGGTGGACTGAGCCGGAGTTGACAAGGGAGAACTTTACATGGAGGCCAGTTGTGAAGAGTGGTTCAGCTTGGGAGCCACCACTGATCTCTTATAAGCTTGCTGTAATGTGACGAGTGAGTGCTGACCTCGGTGACATTAGTCTGTATTCATGCGAGCAGCTTCTATGCAGTAAGAATCGATTCCGATTTTGTTTGTTACACAACTGCTATTGGAACTTTCTGTGAACTTTTATATGGAGGGCAAAAAAAAAAAAAAAAGTCAACATGCCAGATTTGATTAATGGCATATTTAAATTGATTGTTTTGGGGGAAACAATAACCCGATCCTTTGTGTTGTATTCCCTCCATCTCTCCCTTTGACTCTTCCTTCTCCCCATGAAAAGCTAACAGCTCTGCATACCTTATGAGTAAATAATAACTTTAATTCAACTGATAAATGCTGACTGTGTTCGGTTAAAGTATAAGTACAGTGGAATGTGTAATCTGGATAAACAGTCTGTGCAGTTGATATTGTCACTCACTAATTTAACTATACGGATTGTTAAAGTACCGTTCAGCAAAGGTAATTTAAAAAATATGTCAGTCAGTAATATTGCCTTTCATCAAATTACTTATTTAAAGAAAATTACTGTTCTGTAGTTACATTCCTGCTAGGGAAACAAATACTCGTATTTACATTAAAAGCATGTGCATAGAGCTGCTACAGCAGATGTGCCAGTCAAACAAACGTCACCCTGTAAATCCACCTAAACCATTCCCTTCCCTTTTCTTACTGGAGGACAGAGTTGTTCAGATAAGTAAATGGTCTGATATGAAATTGGTGCTGATGACAAAACAGGGTGGTTCAGGAGTTTGTGATGTGAATAGGAGAGGTCACTTTTAAACACTGGGTGTATTCTGCTACTCCGATTTTTTTTCTATCACTTACAGAAGCGTAATATTTATTCACTTTCAAGAAACACTTTTCAAACCTTGGTTATACAGCATCTACTGTTGTCATCACAAAAAATTAATTTATGTTCAGAAATGAATTTGATGCATTCAGAATCAGAACAAAGATGAGCAGTTTCTTGTAAGATCAGAAAGATAAACAATTTAGTTCAGTTGCATGATTTATATCGGTATGTAAAATTTGACTTGCCTGTGGCAGACTTTTTTTTCTGAATAGGTAAGTAAACTCTCTCTGTTCCATTATCAATCATGAAATAAATGTGTATGGTGTGGTATGTTTTTTTGGGGAGGGCGGGTATTTTGTGCTTTTTTTGCCATATCAGGTAGATAATTCACAACAACTTAGCAAGGCTCCTTTTTTATAGCACTGGTGCATGAGCTCCATTTTCTGGTTGGTCTCCAGCTCTGAAATGTAATAAGAACAGCAAAGTAGTCTCTAGTGTAGACTTAGTAACTATGCTGAATAGATTAGAGATGAGGCGATATAGTATTTCATTAATGATGTAAAGCTACAGTAAATACAGTCTGACTGCTTGCTTTTTATATAGCCTTTGTGCTTAAAAAAGCAAAAGAAAAGCTTTCTAGTGGGATGCAGTCAACTTGAAAATCTCCAGGCTGTATTAATGTACAAGAGCTCCCTATGATCGTCATCACTGTAAGATGTTAGTAAATAAAATGTTCTGTATTTTTCACTTTCTTTGTGGCTTTGGCAGTGTCTATATACAGTCTGTTTTGCTGTTGGTCATTTTGCTCTGACTGTACTAGCCTGATGACATCACTCTCATTCACTGCTCTGGGGGAGCTCACATGCACACCCAGGTCATGCTGGATGTTTTACCAATAGCAGCAGAGCAGCAGCTCTGTCTGCACTGGGGGACAAGGACAGTGCTCCTGATCAGCAGGGATCCTGGTTTTCTCTGATTTAAAAAAATCCCCAATTTTCGGATTTAAAAAAGTAACCTCAAATGCACATTTTTCCACAATTAAAATGAAATGCCACTAATACATAGATATATAGATATCTCTATATCTACATATCTCTATATCTATATATAGCAGTGTTTCATTTTAATGATGGAAAAATGTGGATTTTGAGTTACCTTTTTTAATCCCAAAATTGGGGATTTTTAAAAAATCAGAGTAAACTAGGGTCCCTGCTGATCAGGGATAGCCAAAGCAGCCAAGGGAGAGCACACCTTCCTTGACACCTGGTTATGGCTGGGAGCAATGGGAGCCTTAAGATGTGGTTTGGGTCCTTTCTCTTTCTGTACCAAACATGGAGCCAGCGAGATAATAAAACCAGGTAGATTGTGCAAATCTGCTTCCTCCAGTCCCTACTCTGTGTGGGATTGAGGTGGGGAGCTCTCCTGTTTAGGCCCCAGCCTCCCATGACATGTGGATGTTTAACAAACTAGAGGAGGGATTCCTTATTCCCTGCTACTTCTCTACTGGTCCTGGAAAGGAGTTTAGGGTTTAGGAGGTGTTATCTGGGTTCTGCTGCTGTTATTGAAGAGACTGGCAGGCATGCCAGAAGGGGAGGGTTGTGCTCAAGCTTGTTTGGTAGCCATGGTGGTATTCTCGGGCCTGCCCACTCTCCCTTGCTGCAAAGGCTCACACTGACCTCATTAGGGGAACAGAAAAATCCTTGCAGTGTTTTTATTTTAAAGGAATTTTCTTTAATATTCCCAACATTTTAAGGTATGCTTTATATAGAGAAGAAGGCTGTCAGAATTTTGTGTTGAAACAGATTAGAACTTGTTCGAGTTCAATGTCACTTTAGAAGAAAAGGTCCTTATCCTTTAGTATTTTGGGGTTGCATCTGCCCTTGGCTGTGCTGATGCAGAGCAATGGAGACAATAAAAAACACTGTAAGCTCTTTGGGGCAGTAGCTCTCTTTTTTTATTCTATGTACAGTTCATAAAACATTAGAGTCCATGCCTGCAGCTTCTGGTGCTACCACAGGGCAAATGAGTAGTAAAAATAATATAGGGAGCCTTTCTGAGCACCATCTTTCACAACTACTTAAAGGCCTTTATTATGTCAATGGCAGTGGTAAAAGATTTCATTTAACTCTGGGAACAGGATTGAGCCCCAGACAATTCTAACAGGAATGTGGTTTAGGGTTTGGGTGAGTGTCTGGCCACATTCAGCCCTTGTGAAAACAAAGTGAGGGTGAATACAGCTCCTGATCAGAGAAAAAACAATGTGTGACCACTGTTTGTGCCAGCCTGCCCTGAGCCATAATATCCTGCAGCTGCAGGATTGCTTTGTGAAGGTTGTGTGGTTGGCACTGCTCATTGCTACTCAGCCTTCTGGCCTGCTGCATTCAGAAAGGATAGGGTTTTGCATCATGTCACTTTTCTTCAAAAGTACAAGTTTATGTTTAAATAAAACATTCTATTTGGACATCAACTAAATGGGCACCCAGAAGTAAGCAGTTTGGGTATTACAGTAGTGGGAAAATAATTAACATTATTTTTTCAAACTGTTTTTTTTTGTGGCCTATGAAGTATTTTGAGTGTAGGGCTTTTTATGGAAATTACTGTGGTTTACCTTCCTGTGTTCTAATAGCAATAATTTCCCTTTCAAGAAATTAGATTTCATTTTATGGAAAAATTGGTAGTGGTGCAGCGCTGAGACCTTGACCTTCTGAACTCCGAACTAGTGGTTGTTTACTACAGTTGCAGTCTGTATGTGCTTGAAAGAGGAGGAGCTGCAAACACAAGCATGCTCACTTTCCCCAACCAAGAAGAAAACATAAAGCAGCATGACATTTTATAGCAAGCAGTGGAGAAATAGTGCTAAATAGTTGTCATGACTTTTCCTGTCCTCCTAAGTAGAATGTGTTATGCTCTATCTGCAAGACAGACTTGGAGTTTTGAAAGTGCAAATGTGAAAGTACAACTTCATTTCCCGTGCAGCAAAAAAAAAAGAGATGAGCTTTAAGATGAACGGCAAGCTTTATGCCAGGAAAAAAGCAGGGGTTTTTTACCCTAGTAAAAATACTTTTATAATAGAAGCCAGCGTTGTTCAGTCAGTCAAGAGTACTGTGTGCATTTTAGTGTAGTAACTGAAATTTAGGCTGTCTTTTCTCAGCTGAGTAATATGGAGTTTATGTTTGTTTGAAGACATTCTCAAATGAGAACATAAATAAGAGTAATATGTAAAAATGATTGCTTTAGTTAACATAAAAAAGCCCCAGCTCTGACAGTCTCTTGAAGAGCTGCATCTTGTTGCAGTACATAGTCACATGGGAATCCTGGGCAAACTGGTTGGCATCCATTTAGAATATAAAGTCATGCTGTGCTTTCCAGCATGCCAGCTATACTGTAGAGCATACCTCTCAGTTTAGAGGTTGACTTTTCAAAGTGCCTTAAAATCTGTATATTGATGTTGCCTTGAAATTTGGTGTACCTTATGGTTGGGGCAGAAGAGAGGTTACTAATCCATTTCACTTTTGGTATATGCTGTAGCATTTGTTTGTTTGCAAGTGCAATTGCAAAGTATTAATCCATTCTGATGCTTAGTTTACTTATTATATCAAGTAAACCATTTGGTTACAAAAAATTGTGAAACAATTAGGTTAGGAAGAACAAAGTATAAAAGTAGCTTTGCTATAAAGTCATACTATTTATGCTATGTATAACAGAAGTATACTGTTTGACTACCTTGTGTGTCATTGTAGGCTTTCATTGTATTTATTGAGGCCCATGAATAGTGGCCAAGACTTTGGCCCAGTCATGATCAAGCTATGAGAAATGAAATGTTCACGTTGTGTATTTTCAGGTAACAGTTACTTTTCATCTCTGTATCTGTTGGAAAAAGAATGTGGTCTGACCACAAGAACAGGAGCCTACCTCTCCTGCGTTTTAATCCTGGTTCCACTTTATGCAAATAATTATCTTTCTCATTGCTTTGTGGGGTATGATGGCCCAAACCATTCCTGTTTGAAATACAAGTGGTACAATTTAGCTCATAGAGGAACAACTAACTCAGCAGTGATTATGAAGCATTTTGAAAAAATGAGATCACCCCATCCTGTGTAGACGTTGCCTGGTATCTCTGCCAGGAGAAACAATCCTTTCTTGTCTGTTGC